CTTTTGCAAGTTTCCTGGAAGCTGTTAATAGTGATTCTTTTTCTGTAGTTTTACTGTGATATATCTGGGGGTGGATTTATTCTTATTTATCCTGCTCAACACTCAAAGTGTACTTTCAACCTAAGAGTTTATGTTTTTTTTTTCCACTCCTGGAAAATCTCAGCTGCTCTCTCTTCAGATATTGCTTCTCTGCCATTTGCATCTATTCCCTCCTTCTACAGTTCTTATTAAATAGACTGCTTGATGAAGTCCCTCAGTTTCATCTCTGAGACTGCCCATTGTCATCTCTTTTGCTTTCTGTGCTGTGTTTCGGATAAGTTTTTCCACACTGTCATCCAAGGAAATTCACTTTTGAAATATGCCTAGCCTAGGGTTTATTCCCTTATTCCCTCTGTTGTATTTTTTTGCTTCAATGACTATTTTTCATTTCAAAATTTCTTTCCAATCTACCAATTCTTATTTCCTTTATACCTATTTGTTGCTTTATTTCCTATTCTTTTTTAAAGAAAACGTATGTCTTCATACTTCTTTGAGCATCCTCAACATACTTTAAGGTCTTTGTCTTGGGCGTATAGACTAGTACAACTGTTACGAAGAGCAGCACTCAGATGAAGCATACAGACCTGCTGAGAGCCAGCAGAGGACTCTTTTCACAGCCTTATAAGCCTTCGTGGTCCAGGATGGTCATCACAGCACTATTTGTGTTGGCAGCAGTGGGGAACAACCCAGTTGTTCAACCATCAGGAAATGGAAGTAAAATGTTGGGGTATATGCTAGGGAATGTATGTAGCAGTAAGAAAATGAGAACTAGGAGGGGCATGGGCAATATACATAACCCTAACATTTGTACCCCCATAATATGCTGAAATAAAAAAAGTGGGGAAAAAAAGGAAATTGGGAACTAGATGCACATACAGCAAAATGGGTATATGTCAAAAACACAGTACTAGTAAATAAGCAAGAAACAGAATGAGATCTGTAGCACAGTATTACTTCCATAGCTTAAAAATTACATAGAAACTAACACAAAGTGTAAGAATACAGGCAATACAAGGATACACGTCAAACCAATTGGAATGGTTTCCTGTTGGAAGAAGAGGAGCATAAGAAGAGGGCACGGTGTGTGAGGCATGGAGAGAAAAATACACACATGGTAGATGAGCGATAAATATTTATTGCTTGATCATGACATAAACATCCGCAGCGAGGCACAGCATCACCGAAATTGCAGGCAGAGCCTGCAGACAGCCGTGCTGGGGGAGTCTTAAGTGAAAACTGCTTGGCTGGCCCGGAACCATCTCAAACGAGCATGTATACAAAATAAAGCCTGAGGAAAATGGTTTTGTCCGTAAGACTGAATATAAATGGGAAAAATCAGTTTTCCTTCTTCATGATGGTAATACTTTTCCTGTGAACGACTTGGCAACAGAGAAACCGAATAGGACACACTGCAGCACCTCCATACCCTGCCCGTGGTCATCGTAAGGTCACTCCTCTCTAGAGCTTTCCCATGGGTTGTTGCAGGCTCAGCCCCCTTCTGCCACCCCTACTCCATCAATTAATGAGTGAGAAAGGGAGGGAAGGTTTTTCTAGCATGTACCACGGTAAATTACTGGAGGAAAAACTGCTAATGACCAGCGCCGTCCGACGAGCAGAACTTTCCTTCCCTCCCCTGCTCTTCTGGTGTTCAACCCCAATTCGGGCTCCCTGCTTCCCTCCAGACTGTCTCCTGCCTCAGGCCGGGAGTCCTCTGTTTCCGTTTCATCTCTTTTCCATACCCCTGGATGGGGATGTGTCCAGGAACTCAGGCCAAAACCAGCAAATTTATCACCGTGGTAATGACAGCAAGCTGCATGCTGAGTGAATTCTGCAATCCCCCTCAACTCCTGCTCGTGCCAAAGCCTGTGGAGCTGCAAGATCCAGAAGGTCACACAGACTGTTATCTGCACACGAAGAATGGCTCTGTTAGAAAACGCAATTAGGGATCAGCCAGAAGGCTATTTTTGGAAGTTTGTTTGGGGAAATCTCAAAAAAAAAAAATTGCTGTATGGTGAGAGAGGTTAGTCAATCCACCAAAATTGAGCACCACTAGCCACATTGTAAAACTACCTTTGTCAATGTATGAGGTTATAAAGAGCCATCCTTTGTCCCCCGGGGATGCCTCATTGTTCTGAAAGTATTTACCTCTGTGGAGTTTGTGAAACTCTCAGTCCTGGTGGCAAAACCTCCCTCTTTGTTTACATGAGCAGCTCTTCCCAAGCCAGCGGCTATGGAGAATCCTTAACCTTGTCGTTCCAAACAAAATGCTTCCCTAGAGTTTGGGGAAAGGGAACCTGGGCATTCCAGTGGGACCAGGGGAAGTCGTGACACACAGGTTGAACGCCTACCATGGGCAAGGCGTGGTCAGGGAGGCCCATTGCCGGGGAGGCTGGCTGGCAGGACTGTCATCCTCCAGGGAGGAATGTCGCCCAGTGTGTGCCCCAGGGGAGCCAGCCACCGCCGGCCTCGTGAGGAAGGCAGAGCCGAGGCATGGGAAAGGCTCGAGGTATAAGGCGCTGTGCCAGACACCCAGGAAACCGGCAGGGCGCCAAGGCATCAGTGGTTCTCCATGCTGTCGGGATGAGAAGGCCTTTGATGACCCACCGCAGGTCAGAGATGTCTCTAAATGGTGTGTTGTGTTTGTCACAGCACTTACCTCCTTTCACATGGAGCGTGCATGTGGTGTGCTTTCTTGAAATTCACTTCAGCAATGCTCGGTGCAGACTGGAGTCTCAGTCCACCCAGCTTTATGCCCCCAACTTCTCTACTCTGCTGACCTGGACAATAAGGCTCATGTCGCCAAGAGTGGGGAAGAGATCCCACCCGTGGCTGTTGGCTGGCCCAGGTGTCAGGTTGTTTTCCCGTTGGATCCAGGTTCACCAGCACTCACCACTGGCCAAGCTTCCGCTTCCCCGACTCCCCCTCAACACAATCCCGAAGGCCCCACCTTTTCGCACTTGGAATTAGGGTGCAGTTATTGCCCAGGCCGGAGTCCAGCCATCCTCTCTATGCATAACCCTCTCCAGAGGGGACACAGGGGAGGCAAAGCACAGACGGGCAGGGCCCAGGCCTTTCCCCGGGGTGACCGTGTGCCTGGAGACAGTGGCCTTCGAGGGGATCTCGGAAGGACTGGTGGTGGTTAATCCACAGGGGGCAAGTCCACGTGGAGAAATCGTAGCATCCTCAGAACACAAAGGGCTCTAACTGCCAGCAAGAGAGGATCCTTTTCTCCGCTGATCCAGAGGACAGACCAATAACTGAAAGTTATAGGGAAGCAGGCGTCAACCCCACATAATTAATCTCTTCTATGCAACTTAATCAGCAGAACAGCCTGAATATGTACAAGTCAGAGGGGAAATGCCCGTTTCATTCTGTAGAAAGGATTCCTAAATCGGGTGCAAAGTTAAACCGAATGACCTCTGCCATCCCTCCCTATCATAACATCGTGACTAGAAGAACCCTTCTAGAACATTCTGTGACTGACGAGGTCTCCTGTGACTGCTCCGTTGTCTACTCATCTTTTGAATACGTGGTCCAGCCGTAGTCTTGGAGGTGTGGAATGTTCTTTATATGAGGAGAGAAGCCCGTCAGACACAGGAGCAAGGAAGTTCCCAGGCTTTCTCAGAATCCCCCAGTGGCCTGATCACACCCCCAGTGGGACATGGGATGGAGACACCCTGACATTTTAACAAGTGTGCTGAGCTTGGGACGTAAACAAACTCTGGGGCTGCCGTTTCACCCGTCCCTCAAGCACGACGCCATGGAATTTTAGAGATGGAGGAAGCCTGGAGGTCATTGCCTCCCAGATCCTACCCAGGGCAGGAACCCTCGCTAATGACCCAACAGATGGTCACCCAGCTTCTGCCTGCACTTTCAGGAAGGGACGCTCTGCTTTGCCAGGAGATTTAATCCCCTTGGAGACAACTTAATCCATTTTGAGGCAGTCCTCATTGTGAGCTGTTTCTTCCTCGTACTGAGCCCCAGGTCTGCGTTCGTTTGACTTGATTTCTGCCCTTGGGAGTAAGACTGAAATAAATCTTGTCTCTCATCCACATGACAGCATTCAGATATTCAAAGACAGCCATTATCTCCATACCTCCTCTTCCCCTACGTCTTGTCTTCTCTGTCTGAACATCTCATGTCACCTCAAATATTTCTTATATGGCATGGTTTCAGACCCCTCCCTACCCCAGTCATTATCTTCTGAATATTTTCTATTCTGCTAACGTTCCTTATGAAGAGTAGCTCCCAGAATACCCACTGTGGCCTCATCACTGCCGAGTACACTAGAATTATCACCTCCCTTGATCTACACACTATACCTATATTAATGCAACCTAGAATTATATGAGTTTCATACCAAATGGCAAACTGTTAATGTTATTATCAGCTAAAACCATCATATTTTTTTATCTGGCACAGTTTCATAAAGCTTAAAGAAAGAAGTGGATTTAAAAGTGACCCTAGGAATTTTTTAAAGACCAAATCCTGCCTCCCTTTCATTAAGAAAAGATAGTATACAACCACAACGAGTAAGATGTGCAACGTTTGGGGGATGGACATGCTTGAAGCTCTTACTCGAGGGGGGAGGGGGGCATGGGCAACACAAGTAACCTTAACACTTGTACCCCCATAATACGCTAAAATAAATAAATAAAAGAAAAGACAGAACTATTTAAGAAGCTAGGGCCCCTAGCAAAGGTTATGAGTGACAGGATAAGATCGTGGAACCCTAAGATGACTGACTGCAAAGGTGAAATGTGATAGGCCGGCATCCGGGCCTTGGCAACCTCTTCTCCCAGCACAATCCGGGCACGGAAGGCTCCTCTTGGGAGCTCCGTCTGCTCTCGTCTCCCTCGCTCTGCCTTTGGTACTTTTCGGCCGGCCACGTGCTTCTGAGGCGAGGTCTTCCCCCAGCCCACTGGAAACTCACTGGTGGCTCTCCTTTGTGTCTGTGGCAGGTCACCTGAAGGAGGAGATCACCCAGCGGCACATCCAGCAAGTCGCCCTAGGTAGGTGCAGCGCAGAGTCTGCAGGGAGAAGGCGGAGGCCATACGAGCTGGCCTGGTCTCGCAGACGCAAGCCCAGCTGAAACGCAGCCCATCCGCCAGCCTCGGGAAGGTTGAGGACGGCCGGGGCTGCTGTCAGCGTGGCTTTCTCTGCACGCCCGTTCCTCCTCTGTGGGACCAGTCCCCCGGCCCGTGTGCTCACGCCCAGCTTTCAGCACCCGGCGCCCTGCCCTTTCCGCCGCTGCCTCCTCCTCCTGACGTCTCCCACCCCGCGGCCCCACCCAAATTCGCCCCGCTGTGTCCCGGCTGCTCAAGGCCCTCCTCTGAGCTTTCCAGAGCCCCTGCTAACTAACCTCAACAGTGACAGTTAGTGAGGAAACGGTGACCCTTTACTGACCCATCTCTGCTCACGACTTTGTGCGCACTGTCCAGTCCTCGCCGCAGTCCGTGTAGAGGTAAGTGTGTTTACCGGATGAAGCAGATCCAGTGGCCTGCCCAAGGTCACGGAGCTGGTGAGTGTGGAAACGGCCTAGAGCCCAGCTCTCCCTGAGTCCAAACTCGGTGCTCTTGGCCCTCATGCTGTTTGCTGCCCACGTCAACACATTGATAATGTGAACGCCAAACCAATATGGTCACATTCTAAGAGGCCCTTGGCACCTTTTCCGCAGTGGACATCTGCTGATATGTCACCCAAAGAAGTCACCTGGGAGGAGAGTGTAGCTCGGGGGCAGACTGGTGGAGCAGGCATCCTGGGCAGACCCTGTGTTCCTCTTCCCTAGCCTGGGGCCAGCCGTCCAGGGAGCTTTGATCAAATAAGAAATGTGTGTGTTCCGTACAAAGGTTCCCCTTGATATGGCCTGGGCCCTGCAATGACCTGTAAGTGGAGACATCCAGCACCCAAGGCCCAAGGTGGGGAAATAGAGGAGAGCCCCTAATGTCATGAGAATGATCCATTTGACCCTAGGAACTTGGATTATTATTAGAAAGGTTGATTAGTTTCAGCAATCATACTGATCATAGAAAATAAACTTCCAATTGCATCCAAAATGCAGAACAAGGAAACCCAACATATTGACTGGAGCTCTGAGCTCCCCCTGCGGGTCCTGGCACTTAGGGGTCAGGTAAACCTGCCCTCCCATTGCCAGAGACTTGGGCTCACACTGGGAGCTGAGACCCTGCCAAGCGCCTTTTCCAGCAAGGAGCCGGGGCTGCCCCAGGGCCCTAACTCCTTGGGCCGGGCTCGGGCAGGCAGAATACCTCTTTTGGGAAGCTGTGCCAGGGGACCTTAGGGGCCTCTGTGTCCATGATCCATGCTCCCCCTGGGCAGGTCCCTGAATGTGGAGTCACCCTAAAGGCTGCCGCCTGGCCCTGAAACATCTGGCCTCTTCTCTAGCCTTCATGATACTGGTTCAGTAGAAACAATGACGTGAAACATACCACTCAGCTCCAGGGGCAATTTTCATCTTGGGCCCGGGAAGCCATTTCCATGGCTTTGAGGGCAAGAGGTGTCCTCCCAGGGCTGGTCCACCCAGCGGGGGCAGACATCCTGGGCCTCCAGAAAACTGCTGCGTGTTTTCCATCACAGGGTTGTGCCTTAATTCCTCTGCTCCTCTCTCCGGGAGCCTTCTTCTGAATTACAGCAGGTGTTGGGTTCAGCAGGGCCCAGCTTTGCCTGAAGTAATCAGCAAACTTCAAACAGAAAGCACTCTGGCTGGAAGTCTAATTAAGAGCATTTGAAATACCTATTTATTTTAAAAGCATACTATCCCAATTAGAGAAGAAGTGTTAACATCTCCCAGCTGCCATTCTGAGATTAACTGTCATGTTGTCATCTAAACTCCTTAGGAGGTTGTCTGAGGGAGATTAGGAACTGCCAGTGTTCCTCTGTCCCAGGTGGCCACATTTCAGATGGGAATTACTCTCGTGGAGAGAAGACTCTCAACACAACAGATTGTTGGTAGGGGCTTAACACTCACCCTTCGGGCTCGCATGTGAGGGCAAGGCTAGGACGGAGGGCTCTGAGAGCAGCTCACTCAGTATATTTGGATTCCCTGATGTCCTGTAATTTGGGCTTCAGATGTAGGAAGAAAGCAGTGACAATGCCACGTGCCCCCTTCCTCACTTGTACTCACTTCCCCGCTTTTTGTTCTGTTCCCTTTATTTATTTCTGTCCATTTTCTCTTGCTCTCTATTTTAAACATGTCCTCTGCTATTGTTTCTTTCTTTTGCCTACATGTTCCTAAGTTTCCATGAAAATGTAGATGTAGTGGGTTTGGGGGTTTATTGGGGGGGGTAATGAGGTTTCCTCCTATGTTTTGCATAAGACCGTGTCTCTGTCTGTATAAGTAGCAGTGTGCCCAAGGAAGTTGGTATAAAGGCAATCCCATATCCTAAAGGAACGGAGGTTTAGTGGTGACGTGAGAGGCGCCATTTGGAAGGGACCACTGGCGGGCGGCGGGGAGCCCTTCCCGGTGGTGTTGGGGAGCCGGCGCACCCCACAGCGTGAGAGCCAGCTGTTAACGTCGCAGAAATTTTAGAAGCCATTGCTAAACAAAGCTGTAATTAAAAATTAAGTTATATAAGCTTACAATTTAAATAAATTACATTCAAAAAGAAAAGGTAGCAAACACTCAGAAATTCATCACTTTCTAGTTACTTTGCTGCATTCTACTATTATCTGTGCTCTCGAAGCTGTTTACAGCCCCTGAGCCTGTAGAGTGGACGTGCCGTACAGCGTCCGCTGTTGTGCGTCCACATTTAGTCACAGCACACTGGTCGCTTAACATCAGCCGTGGTGGTCATATTTACCACCCAGAAAATGGGCAAATGTTATTAATCAGGGCTTTTTTTAAAGAGATCAGCTGTTAAACGTTTACTGCCACACCACTGGCACATGGACGGCCCTTTGACGGCCAGTTGTGTGTGTGTGTGTGTGTGTGTGTGTGTGTGCACACGTGTGTGCGTGTGTGGGCACTCTTACGAGGACTGGCACTCCCTTTTCCTGGCTGAAAATCCGGGTTGTGGTTCTCTCTTCATTTACCACCCACCCAGGGGCCGTCAGGAAACATGAACGCCTACCGAACTCTGCTCCTTTTGCAAATCAGTGAACGGGGAGACTCGGGAAGACGACAGAGAGGCTGGAGAAGCCTTGTGCCCCACGAGCTGCTAGGTGTGACAGAGCTGGGGGCAGGGGCGTCCTTTAAGAGAAGCATCAGCGACCAGTTCTAAGAACGCCATAAACATAACAAAAGTTACGGAGGGACTTCCGAGGAGGGCCGACTCTTGAACGCTGTTTCAGGAAACAATAAAGTGAGGTTATTTTAAATTAGGCACCATTTGGGAATGGTACTCACGTAACCAGATTCGGCTAGCTGAGTTGAGGGTGCTGTGCGGAGTTCAGGTGTGTGTGTTCCCCGCTCTGTTGTCCCGTCGCCCCCAAATAGTACAGCGTGGCTGATACTGCAGATAAGATTCATCAGCAGATGTTGCTTGAGAACGTCACCATGTGCCAAGAATGACTCTTAAGTTTTCTGCATGTTTTTGCTTCTTTCATGCTCACAAACTCCCCATGAGGTAGATACTGCGCCATCCTCCCTTCACAGTTAAGGCCCGGAGGGCTGAGTGAGCCTGCCCGACTTGCTCAGCTGAGCATGCAAAGCCAGAGCCGCAGTCCAGCAGCCACACGGCTGCCCTGAGCACTTTGCCGGACACCGTGGCGTCCACACAGGGGCATAGATCCAGTGCCTGCCAATCCAATCAGGATGAGGGACGCACACATTAAAAAGATAATTCCTTTTTAAAATTTCAGACTCAGATAGATATAGCCTTCCATTCACTATCCTCTTCCCACTGCAGCCACAAAACCAATTCAACCTTGATCTCCTCCATGAAGCCTTCCCGGACCCTTCGCCCCAGGTCTGCTTTTCCTCTCCAGCCTCCTGCATCTCTGTTAGCGCACCAACCTCGTTCTGTGACCATGTCCATAGCTACTCTCCTTGCTAAACCCTGAGCTCCTAGAAAGCTGGCGCCGTGGGATCCATCCTTGTATCCCTAGCAATAAATAGGCCAAATCAATGGCCAAATGAATGCTTCCCCCGTGACTTCCAGACTCACACGTCTCGCAAAAGTACGGTGAGACATTTGAACATAAAATAAAATAAGTCCATTTAAAAGAAGCAGAAGGCGTAAGTGCTTTTGGATCCCACAGCTGAGCAAATTACAACACACAGGCAATAAATTTGGTTCTCTCTTGTCCAGCTGCTAAGCAAAAAGAGAAATACCCAGAGTTGCATAGTTTTCATTGTCTGACAGTAGGAAGCATGCTAACTAATTTATCTGTAGAAATAGAATTTCTTCCTGGAACTAAAACAAGCCAGAAATTATCATGTGGATCCTTGTATAAAGGACGCTGAGTGACACCGTGAACGATGTCTTCAACTGCAGTTTCACAAAAGATACTGAAATGTTGTTCAACCAGATGATTCTCGTATCGACCCTCTATAAAAGCTAGAGCCCTGGCATTAAAGCATAACTCACTGAAAGCGTTTATGTGAGCGGCCAAGATAATGGAATCCAGGCACTCTGCTTTCTGAGGGTTGGACAGAGCAGGAATCACGCTGGGAGAATCCGTCCCCGGGAACACGGGCTGTGGCCTTTCCCTCAAATATCTCTTCTGAGCAATATTTGATCAGGACTGGATCTGGTTCGGTTCACAATCAAAACTCTAACAAGTGCCCATGGTTAAAATTGATAAGATCCATTACACTAACAACCAGCATGTGAAATGTGTCAGGCGAGAGGGACAGGCCATCAGAGCTTCAGGAACTTTCCGGAAGGAGTGGCTCCTATGGCCCCTGGAGGTTGTCACCAAGACCACAGTCCTGGGCTGAGTCTTGAAGAGTGGGCAGGATTCAGAACCACAGAGAAGAGTGGGGAATAGTTTCGGTTAGTTGGAGTACGTGTGTGTGTGTGTGTGATATGTGTATGTGTGGTGTATGTGTGTG